AAAAAAAAAAAAAAAAAAAAAAAAAAAAAAAAAAAAAAACACAGAAAGCATATCCATATTCACATGAACAAATCGCAACTCAACTAAATTTGTAAATAATGCAAATTTGATTACGATTGTGAGTGGCAATCTGCATATGTGTGTATGTGTGTGTGTCGAGGATAAGTGCGCCTGCAGCGAAATGCTAAGGATGTTGATGAATTTTGACATTTTGTTTGTGACGCAGCGGCGGAGATTATGGACCACATACACACGCACACACGCAGATATTTGGCTGCCGGGCCAATTGTGCGTGTAATCCGCGATAATCATTTTAAATTTAGACGCTAAGAAGTGGTGCGGTTGTGTGTCTATAAGCAAGTGAGTGTATGTATGTGTAGGTGGAAAGCGTCGTAGGCATTTGTGCGTGTGCTTTTGTGCATCTCCGCAGCTTTAAGTGCTTTTAGTCTGCCTTTTGACATTCGCTCTCTCATTTTCCTTTTTGTTTTGTTTTGTTGTTGTATTTGTGCTTGATTATTGCTCAATGATTTTGCCGCAAGGATAATTGAATTCAACTCAAGTCTTACTGCACTTTCAAATGTAAGAAAGTAGCAAATCTGAAGCGACTTAAGCCACCGTGAGCAATACAATTTAGCAAGAGTGATGAGTAGTCTTAAAACTGTTCTCAAAGCGTCGCATAATAACTGTGTGCCTCCTTGTAAATATCTATGTGTCACTTTGTGTGTGTTCGTGTCCGTGAATTTGCGCAAATCTTTGCTTAGCGGCAAATCCGCAGCTATCACTTCGCACAATTTATTCAGGAATTTTTAATCAAACCGTTGCCATTAATTACTCGAAATTCTTAGCCACATAACAGACATTTTTCGCTTACCACCAACCGCTGCGCGCCACTCGCACCTTCCGTCAACGCACTGGCGGACTCGTGCGCTCAGTGACGCTGCTGGAAAATCAAACATCAGACCAGCAGTTAAAGCGGAGGAAAAAACGGCAGCGCAAAGGTCGCTACAAAACAAACAAAAAAAAAAAAAAAAAATAAAAGAAAGAAGAAATCGAGCAGCAAACCATGTGGCAGCCAAATACTTGGCGCGCAACGCCACCATCAACAGCCAGAAAATAAGAAGCAGAAAAAGTACGTTATGCAGCCGGCAGCACTTTCAGTAGTGTGGGTGGCAGTGGCGAGCGATGAAATGCGAAGTACAAACCGCAGTAACGCGGCAGGCAAAAAGAAAAAAAAAAAAAAAAAATATTTGTCTGTGGGGGGGTTCGGTCGCAACTCGTGTCTATCCACGCATATTAATACAAACGTGTGTCTGTGTGTGTATTCATGCTTCAAATTAGTTGSAAACGCGAAGCAAGCAGCAAAATCTCCCTTCCTTGCATCCCTTTATCGGCCTTCTGCTTGCAGCAAGCCTGTCAGCAGTAAGCATCCTCACTTGCTGGCTTGGAATATGCCAATGTGGCTGCCACCAAGCGCAGCTCCTTGCTTGTTTGTATATATGTGTGTGTGCCGCTGATTTGCTGATTTTACTTTTATAACATGTGCCTGTGTATTTGTGAAGCAGATGAGCGCATCGTAATGAATAATTTATAATAGTTGGCAAGCTTTTACGGAAAATTAAAGTTTTGTGGCTCTTCACACCAAAAGCAAGCGATGAAGCTACAAAAAGGGGCGTTTGCGCAAACATAAATGAGGGAGAAATGAATAAAAAAGRTTATGCTAGCGTGGATTTGTGCTAGAGAAACTTGTTGCATGCAGTTACGTTATTTCAAAAAAAGAAAAGTGATCAAGCTGCACCCACCGGCACTTACTTATTATTAMTTTTCATTGTTTAAACTCTCYCTCTCTCTCTCTCTCTCTCTSTCTCTCGCAGYTTACAACAAGAAACTAATTCAGATTAAAGACAAAACGCCTTCTTCAGAAACGTATTATCACGATGTTCCTTCGTTTTGGCTCCACTTTCATTTGGTTCTTTCTAAAGAACTGATTTGAATAATACTCACAGCATATCTTTATAGTCTAGACCCTATTTGCAAGGGAATTCCACAAAATAGTGGAGAAACCTGAATAATATTAAGAAACTTGATTAGAATACCAATAATTCGGCTATCTGTGGTGTTACAATCGCAACCGGAATCCTGTCGAAGTACTGGTGGTTACCCTCAWAAGCCCGAAAGGATAAACTTTTGCTAAAAGTAGTTCGTGAGCAGAGCAGACTTAYGGTATATATAAATGGCTTTGTATACTGTGCTATAGTCTGCATTGAAACCACAAATAGTTTTAGRCTTTTATAACTTTAACAAGTTCTCAGATGAGCCCATGTTTTATTACACGAATCCATGCGCTTTATAATTCCTTTGCATTTTTCTTCACAAATGATCGCTCTACTAAGTGATTAAGTGATTATYTTTACCAACAATTGGATAAGATGGGCTATCAGCACCTTTACCAAGTTTAAATTTCCTGGTGTTTACGAATTTTTTCCAGGATAACTTCAAAAGGATAAAACCAATAAGGGACAGGCTTGCTTAGGCATATAGATATATCCTAATAAAGTGGAGAAATGCACCAGTTATCTTCATATCGAAAGTATGGAGATGAGACTACCAAATAGCCAAATCATATAGGCCGATACTGCTAGTCTGCTTACTGACAAAGAAGTT